ACGTGTAAGTATTTAACGTGTTTATTTTCTTATATGCCTAATTTGAACTGTCCCAAAATTTGTATTTTAAACTGTGATTTCCTGCAAGTTGTCATCAAAGTGTTTGTTTTTACCAAAACATAACCTTACATTTTCATACAATCTCTCCAACTCATGGCTTCATTACTAATAATGAACTTCTTGTATCATCGGCACATTGTTCTGTTTCTCTTAATGGAGTCTTCCCACTAAATTTTCACAGCAATCTTCTAAGAGGAGTTTTAATATGATTCATTGATTACAAGTACATACAGACTAAACAAATTAAAGGGGCTTTAACTGATGGTGTCTGAATGAAATTCCCATTCAAGATGCCAGACCCAAGTACATTTTTATAGAAAGATAAGTCTTTGCTATTTGTGACAATGAAGGTATAAGGTATAAAAATATATGACAAATGTATGCATATTTATTAAGATGTGTTTTGTATAATTTTGGCATTACAAACTTACTTGGAAATAGGCTCGTTCACATTTATTAATTTAGAACATTTTTTAATCACCCCCAGGTCCTTTATTCAAGCATGGTATCCTTGTTAACCATCTTAACTGGTATTTATATGAAGATGTCAGGTCTTATTCATTCATTTTCTTACTTACTGGGATTGAAGTCAGTATCTCAAGTACCTAAGCAAGAGCTCTGCCACTGAGCTGTATGCCTAGCCCACAGTCAGTCCTTTACAGTGAAGTTCTTTTGTAAATGTGTTTCCTATCTCAGGACAACACTGTGTGGTTTGGATATTTGTTATACTCACATTGCACCAAGTAAGAACATTGTTTTTAAATTTCCACACTGCTTATGCATCACAATTTACATGTATAATGAAAAATGATTATAAAATGAAATGTTATGGCTTAGGGATCTCCTCTCTGGATGAATTTGTGTATCAAGAAACTTTAAAGGGTTTCATGTAGGCAAGTACTGTGATGTACACCCATCATCCTAGGACTTAGGAGGCTGAGGCAGGGAGATCATAAGTTGAAGGTCAGCCTAAAAACAGGACCCAGCCCCAAAACAAACAGGACCCGAGAGATGGCTCAGTGGGTAAAATCACATGCTGTCAAGCCTGCCGACACGATTTCAATCCCTGAGAAGCAATGACTCGTGAAAACTGTCTTCTAACTGGCACACTCACATCATGCATGAACGTACCCTCACACATGTACATCCACACAAAACAAATACATGTTAAAGGGAAGAAGAAAGAAAGGTTGAACACACTGTCAATTTAAAAAATTACTAAGAGAAAAGTAACTTTGGAATATGAGTCACTAGGCAACATGTATAAAGCTAGTTAATGAAATGTTCTTTTTAAATGTATTTTATGTCTGTGAGCGCTCTACTTGCATGTATGCCTGCATGACAGAAGAGGGCATCAGATCTCATTATGGATTGTTGAGAGCCACCATGTGGTTGCTGGGAATTGAACTCAGGACCTCTGGGAGAACAGCCAGTGTTCTTAACTGCTGAGCCATCTTTGCAGCCCCCAGTCCCCAGTAATGAAATACTCTAAAGATCTCTGTGAGTTCACTAATAAACATGAGGTATGAGTCCTCTAATCATTTTAAAGTTGGGCCAGAATATTCATGGAAAGGGAAAATTTAGATATTCATGCAGAAAAAGAAACTGTCCAGACTTTTATTTATAGGCATAATACATTAAAGAGATATCTAGCCCATAATTTAAGTGTTAGAAGTAAAGGTTTTCATACAAGGTTCAGTTCCCTGTGTTTCATTGAATAAAATCCAGTATTTAATTAACTCACATTTTATCATTTATATTTAAAATAAAAAAATTATAAATATTATACTGAATAAATAAATGAATATTTTAAATTATCTTTTCAAGTAAGAATGAGTGAAGGGTTACATTAATGATATTTGTTAACAATAAACAGATAATTTCTAATAGACTCTAACACACTCTAACTGTGACAGTTCATAAAGAATTAGATATTTTGTTTGTTCTTTTCAGTTCTGGTGGTTGAACCTAGGGCCTCTCATCCATTATAGGGCTTTTATTGTTGTTGTTTTGTTTTGACACAGGGCCTCATTGTATAGCACTGGCTGAAACTCACTATGTAGACCAGGCTGGCCTCAAACTCATAGAGATCTACCTGCCTCTGCCTCCTGAGTACTGGGATTAAAAGCATGACCCACCATGCCTGACCTCATCCATTATAGGGCATGTGCTCTCCCATGAGTTATCCCCCTAATCTAAAGTTATTTCTTTTTAAAAATATTTTTTTATTTTATAGGTATGAGTCTTTGTCTGCATGTATGTATGTGCACCATGTGCATGCCTGGTGCCTGAGGGGTCCAAGTGGAGTTACAGATGGTTGTGAGCCACCATGTGGCAGATGGGAACCAAACTCAGATCCTCTGGAAGAGCAGCAAATGATCTTAACTGCTAACCATCTAGGCCTTAAATTATTTCTGAACAGTATGTTTCTAAGAATCAATCATAGACATCATGATGTCTACTAGCACTCTGATGATCATATCTTAGAAGTTAAATTTGAAATACAAATTTTAAAACATTGTGGATTGAAACTTGTGAGATGCTTTTGAAGACCTATGTATGTTTGTATTCAAGGAGTATACTATTGAGAAATGGGATATTACATATGAATTGATAACAGCTAGACTCTGGTACTGATTGTTTGCAAATAAAGGTAAACCTGAAGGAATACTGAGTTTAAAAGATTGAGCCTGTGTGTAGATGAGCATCAGTGAATATGTTCTACTATCACTTAGGCAAGAAAAATGTACATCAGACCAAGAAACCCATAAGAATCTATCAGGGAACAGATTATGATTCTTGGAAATCTGGGAACATTTAATAAAATTTTAAAGCTCATCATTTAGCAATAGTAGAAACACAGTGGCCAGATTTTGAGTAGGGCTGACTCTACCTGACTGTTCAGACATTCTGTACACCAGCCTTAATGGCGGTAAGTAGCTATGTACTCTAAATGGGATAGTCTTTTCCAAAGAAAGACAGTATTCCTCATTTTCAAGCCATTTTTTTCTGTAAAGCCTCAGATGAATTTTTCTCATTTTCAGGAAATAAGTACTTTGCATTTTAAGACTTATGAACTCTGAGAAGATGATAGGTTTGCTGTAGGAGTGGAGTCTCCTTAAAGTTCAAGTACACCCATCAAACTGCCAACTCCAATAAAAGCAGATCCCAGATTGAAATGGATAGTCTAAGCAATTGCTAAGGTAAAGATCACTTAGTGGAAGAATGTATTTAGTTCATCGATATGCACTTGAATCCACTGGAAAATAATTAGTATTATTGAATCCACAGTAAATAGATGCCAGAAAACTGTTTTAGACAGTTAACTCACCCAAACACATTTTCTTTTGGCTGGGAAAAAATACTAAAGCCAAAAAGTCCTTCACAAGTGAAGCATTTACTGGCCAAGCCCAGTGTTTTAAATACTCCCTCAGGAGTTTCCGGTGGAAATGCAGCCATCCAAGCCAGGCCTTACATTCTGGGAAAACTCCAGTTCCCCGAGGAACATGCTCACAAACCAGATAAAAGGGTAAGCTCAGCATGATGGAAAGTGTAACCAGGCATAGAGTGAGAAGTGGTCAGCATCTTCACAGAAGGAAACCTTCATGAATTGATCTCACGATGCCCACACTGGGATGAAAACCATTGAGCACTAGCACAAAGACCAGGTCACAATACTCTCCACTTGTACGAAGAAAAGGAAAAGATCTGGATGCTTGGCTAACTCAATTCGTCTTCAGACAAAGCCTAACTATTCAGTCCTGTTGGCATGGAATCTGCTGTGTACGTCAGGCTAGACTGGAACTCACAGTGATCCACCTGCCTCTGCCTCTCAAATGCTATGATTAAAGGCATTCACCACCACACCTAGCCCAATGGAACCTTTCTTTTTCTTTTTTTATTTCATTATTTTTATTTATTTGTTTGTTTGTTTGTTTGTTTGTTTGAGACAGGGTTTCTAAGTGTAGCCCTAGCTGTCCAGGAACTCACTCTGTAGATAGACCAGGCTGACCTTGAACTCACAGAGATCCACCAGTCTCTGCCTCCCAATTAAAGGCTGGGATTAAAGAAGTGTACCACCACACCCAGCCATATAACATTTAAATGTTAAAACTTGAAAGGTTCTTTCCTTAGTGAACTCTTTTGCCTGAAAACCCAAGAATTTTAAATCTTTATCCCCCAATTTCGGTCATTATCCTAATCAAGGACAAAGAGATTACCCAGCATTCCTAAGGGTTGGCATGTATTGTAATGGCCAGTGATAGATACTTTTAGAGGTCTGGCATTAAAGGTTCAAAAGCAAATCTGGAAAATGTCCCAAGTAAAGATTATATTACTCTGAACAGACTCTGATAAGATAGGTAGAAATCTATATTTAGTGATGTCCTAAATTTTAAAAATCCTTCAAGTTTTCTGATTTTGGCTTTTAAGTTTTTGAAAGGAAAACATTCAGGAGTAATAATGAATCATTAAGCTTTGGTACCAGGGAGATGGTTCAGCAGGCTGTGGATTTGGAAGGTTGGTGACCCACCTTAGATCCCTGCGACCCAAATAAAGATAGGGAGAACCAACTACACAAAAGGTCCCTTGAGGTCCATACACACTGTAGGAATACAACCACACACCAGCGTCATGAACACCAACAATAATAAATAAACAAATATTTAAATATCAGGTTTTTCTGGGTGTTTGGGGCTTTTTTTTCAATTATTCAAGGTCTGATTACTCACACAGAGATTTCGTTACAAACCTAACTATGAAAGTAAGAATATTTAAGAGAATTGTTCTACGGGCAGGAATTTGATACCTAATTCACAAGTATCTCATGACAGCGCAATGATATAAAATAAAGGCATACCTTTAGGTCTAAATAATTAACAGGATTCATAAACAATTACAGAAATAGTGACGTTCTTGGCAAGAAAAAATTTAAAGCCTACCTTTGCTAAGAATTCTGGCTCTAAGGGTGGCTGTCTCTCCTCTGCTGATTCCGGACCTTGGGATAGGCTGGGGCTGAAGGCCATGAGGTCAGTCTTGGGCGGGCCCTCTCCAGAACACACCCTCTGCCGCCTCTGCTGTGAGTATGACCAGCTCCCCACCTCGCTGGAGCACACCAGCACGGGCTTCCCAGGAGCACAGGCTCCATCAGTGGGCGTCGCCGAGCAGCGCAGCGCGGTGTACAGCAGCAGCGTGAGCACCAACAGGCTGGACACCGCGCAGATGGCGATGATCAGGTACACATTGACATCCACTAGTGATGTCTCTCGGCCAATGGCACCTACCAACGCTTTTGATGCTTTTGGAGCTTGGCTATTCTCAACCAGAGAAACTAGCACTGTGGCTGTGGCAGTCAGCGCAGGTTCACCATGGTCCCTCACCAGCACCAGCAGGCGCTGGTGCGGCGCATCTGCTTCATCCAGTGTGCGTGTGATGCTGATCTCGCCCGTGTACAGACCCACGCGGAACAGGCTACGAGAATTGCCTGCGGATGACTGCAGTTCGTAAGAGAGCCAAGCATTGTAACCAGAGTCGGCATCCACTGCACGCACCTTGGTGACCACGTGTCCCGAACCCACTGACCTAGGAATAAACTCACTCACAACCCCTCCCGTTCCCACAGCTCCATGAGGCAGCAGCGCGGGTGCATTATCGTTCTCATCCAGCACAAACACCTGCAGAGTCACATTGCTGCCCAGGGAAGGCACACCAGCATCCCGCGCGCTCACCTGGAACTGCAGCAGCTCCAGCTCCTCATGGTCCAGAGGCTGCAGTGCGAACACCTTGCCGCTCTCCGCGTGCACAGACACATAGTTGGACAGCAAGCGCTCGCCCACCCTCCTCTCCACCAGCGAGTAGGACACCAGCGCGTTTTCCTGCGCGTCAGCGTCCATGGCCGACACCGTGAAGATGTGCGCGCCAGGCGGGTTGTTCTCCTTCACGAACACCGTGTATTCCAGCTGTGCGAACACGGGCGCGTTGTCGTTCACATCAGCCACCTCCACGGACACGCTGGCTGTGGCCCACAGCGAGGGCGAGCCCCCGTCCCGGGCTGTAACCACCACCTTATAGTCAGCTGTAGTCTCACGGTCCAGGGCGCTGTCTAGCACAAGTGAATAGTAATTCTTAAAGGTGGACACCAACTTGAAGGGGACATGAGGGGTCAGGGAGCAGGTCACCTGCCCGTTGACACCTGAGTCTCGATCAGACACGCTGATGAGTGCGATGACGGTGCCCACTGGAGCATTCTCTTGGACAGGTAGTGAGAGAGACGTTATTGAGACTTCTGGTCTATTGTCATTGATATCCACAAGTTTTACTGAAATTTTACAATGTCCTGACATTGATGGGGTTCCCTTGTCAGACGCAATGACCTGAATTTCATAGGATGTCCTTTCTTCATAATCTAATTCCCCTTTAGTTCTGATTTCTCCTGAGGTGGAGTCTATTTGGAACTTTGTCCGTGTGGTAGAGGATACATCACTACTGAGTGAATACACAATCTCACTGTTTGATCCTTCATCTGCATCAGAAGCATTTAATTTAACCACCAAGGTTCCGTTTGCAGTGTTCTCGAACAACTGTACTTTGTAAACGGGTTGGGGGAAAGTAGGTTCGTTGTCATTCACATCCAACACCTTAATGAGTATTTGAACAGTACCCGAGAGTTCAGGCTTGCCTCCATCGGTAGCTACCAGTAACAATTTCATCTCAGCATTTTCCTCTCTGTCCAGAGATTTCCGCAGCACAAGAAACAGCGATTGGCTTAGATCGTCATTTGTTTGTACATCTAGAAAGAAAAACTCACTGGGGCTGAGCTTGTAGGACAGAAGAGCGTTTACTCCTATATCTGCATCCGATGCTCCCTCTAAAGGAAATCGCGAGTCAAGCGGCCTCAATTCGTGAAATTGGATAGTTTTTTCTGTCGTTGGAAATAGAGGCGGGTTGTCGTTAATGTCCCTCACCTCCACCTCCACGTGAAAAACCTGCAGCGGCCGGTCCACGATCACCTCCAGGTGGATGCTACACTCCGCTCTCCGCCCGCACAGCTCCTCCCGGTCGATCCGAGAATTCACAAACAAAATGCCATTCTGCAGATTTACCTCCAGAAGGTTCCCGCGGTCCTTGGACGCCACCCTGAACAGGCGGGGCACCAGCTCCGCCAGCTCCAGCCCCAGGTCCTGAGCGATGCGGCCCACGAAGGTGCCGTGTTTGGCCTCCTCGGGGACGGAGTAATGGAGCTGGCCGCTCCCTGCCTCCCAGGCTGCGAGGAAAGGAAGCAAGAGCAGCAGACACTGCCTGACCTCTGGGCCCCCTCTCAAAGAAGGCATCACTTCTAGTGCTCCGTGAGTTGGTCAAATTAAATGATCATGTTTAAAAACAAATAGTCTAACACCTGCTCAAATCCTGCTGCTTCTCCTGCCGTTTTATCTGGAGTAACAAAGAAGCTCTGGGTATTTTGCCTTCCTAGAGAATATTCTCTGGTGGACAGCGACACCCTGTGGCTAAGCAGGTTCGAACTTTACCGTATTAACTGTAAATGAGAAGTTTACCGTATTAACTTCAAGGGTAAACTTTAGTAGTGCTAAGTATATTCACATTGTTTCAAAACTCCTCTTCCTCTTGGAAAGCTGAAAATGCATACACATTAGACAGCAATTCCAGTTTCCCCATCCTTGACCATGGTAACCACCATTCATTCTACTTCTGGTTTCTGTAAGTTTTACTACCGTGTAAGTGAAATCATACAGGATTTGTTAGGATTTGTTGCTCTGGGGTTGGTTTCTTTGTTTTGCATTGTTTTGAATCTGGCTTCTTCAACTTATCATAATGTTCTGAACACTCATCAGTGCTGTAACATATTACAGGATTTCTTTTCTTCTTAGTGGTGACTGATTCCGTTGCGTATACACACCGCATCTTGTGCGTCCATTCAACTATCCATCGGCATTTGGGTTCTCTGGCTCTTGGTTCTTGTAAATAGTGCTGATACCAGTGCAGATGTACAAACATTTCTTGGAGACCCTGTTTTCAATTCTTTTGTATTTTTTTTTACCGCTTCTTCGAAACAAGCACACCGTAATCAAAGGGTACTTTTGTTCATTGAAAATATGTTTGAATACACTCCTGTTATTTATAATTTTGAGTTTTGAATTGTTTGCAGGTTACATTAACTTCTCCTATGAGAAGTAGATTTTATTTTAGGATTATTCTCTTTTCTATTATATTCGAATTTTCATGCAGGAAGAATGAGCATATTTCTTTTCAGTATTAGTTACATGAGAGTATCCTTTATTAATTCTTAGCTGGCCCCTTCATGTGCAAACATATTAAACTTAAAGATGGTGTAGGGATTATTTGAAATGAATGAGGGAATGTGTCAGTTAGCAAAGTGCATATCAAGTTACACACTTGTTGCTTTATGTATGTTAAAAATTGCTTTTATCTTTCTTAGAGAAAAACAAAGTTAACTGCAAAATTTACAATTATTGTTAAAAACAGCAATGGGAAATAGATTTTCCTGGAGTTAGAATCATTAATATCTTTTCCCTAGCCAGGTGTGTTGGTGAATGCTTCTAATCCCAGCACTTGGAGGCAGATGCAGGTGGATCTTTGAGTTTGAGACCAGCCTGTTCTACAAAGAGAGTTCCAGGACAGCCAAGACTAAACAGAGAAATCCTACCTTGAAAACAAATTTTTAATAATAATTATTAATAATAATTTTTCCTTGAGTCCAATGTCTTAAAGTTATTTCACTTATTCACTTTTGCGGTAAAATGAATGCAACTGGAAATAACTACAGAAAAAATATATTCAGAAAGAAAAATATCCCATATGCTCTTTCAGTCACAGTTCCTAGATTTTACATAGATATATGAAAATGGCAATGAATACACACATATGTATAATATACATAGCATATAATATACATATATATATGATGAAAGTAGAAGAAATCTGTCTAGAGGAACAAAGGGGACTAGTGAGGAAGAATGGCGAGAAAGAGAGAAAGGGAGTATGGAGGATATGCTCAATGTGCAGTATATACTTGTATAAAATGTCCTTACACAAAACAGCACTAGGTACAATGAATATACACAATGAAAGTTTGGGTGGGGAAATGAAATGAATAAGAGGTGAAATAATGCATTTCATTAAAGTGTGAAAGAAGGAAAAAAACTATCAAAATATTCTGAGTGGATCAGGAACATCAGCTATCGATGGAAATTCTATTCATGTTAAATATTAAATCACACTACTCCATGTTTACATTTTTCCTTCATTCTATTATAGCATCCCATAAACGACAGTGCTTTTAAACTTTGTAATCCTAAACCCATGCATTTTTATAATAGTGACTAATATTTGAGATTCACCCCAAGTTAACAGAATTAGCTATTCCACAAAACTTTTAAGCTTTATAAGAATCATTATAACACAGAAAGAATATCCCCCCAATCTTATATGTACAACGCAATCATCTTAAACTTTGTGATCACAATGTAGTTGTATGAAGCCATATCCAAACACATTAAGGTCAAGTTTGGTTGGTTTGGGGTTTCTTATTGTTATTAAAAGGTTTTCTGTCCCCTGATAATAAGTTTCTCCACTGATGCAGTAAGCCAGATCGAGCTGAATTGAAAAAGTACACCAACAAGCTTATTTGAGCAAAGCAACTTCCAGGCAGTTTCTCCAGTCCCAGAGATCGAGGCCAGAGAAGCTGCACCCACAAACAAAAGCAGGGAGTTCCCCTAGCTCCACATCCTCTCCAGCATAAGGTGTCTTCAGTGTTTTTGATCTTAGCCATTCTGACAGGCGTAAGGTGGTATCTCAGAGTTGTTTTGATTTGCATTTCCCTGATGATTAGGGATGATGAGCAATTCCTTAAATGTCTTTCGGCCATTTGAGTTTCCTCTGTTGAGAATTCTCTGTTTAGTTCTATAGCCCATTTCTTAATTGGACACTGCTGGTGGGAATGCAAGCTTGTACAACCACTTTGGAAATCAATATGGCGCTTTCTTAGAAAATTGGGAATCAATCTCCCCCAAGATCCAGCTATACCACTTTTGGGCATATACCCAAGAAATGCTCAACCACACCATAAGAGCACTTGTTCAGCTATGTTCATATCAGCATTGTTTGTAATAGCCAGAACATGGAAACAACCCAGATGCCCTTCAACTGAAGAATGGATAAACAAAATGTGGTACATATACACAATGGAATACTACTCAGCAGAAAAAAACAATGGCATCATGAGGTTTGCAGACAAATGGATGGATCTAGAAAAAATCATCCTGAGTGAGGTAACCCAGACTCAGAAAGACAAACATGGTATGTACTCACTCATAGCAGGATACTAGACATGAAACAAGGATGAATTGTCTGCTACTCACATCACCAGGGAGGCTACCCGGAAAACAGGACCCCAAGAAAGACACAGGGATCGCCCAATGACAGAGAAATGGAATGAGATCTACATGAACAGCCTGGACATGAGTGGGGGTAATGAAAGGCGAGGGTCGAGGGAAAGAGAGCTTGGGGGAGCGGGAGATCCCAGCTGGATCAACAACAGAGAGGGAGAACAAGGAATAGGAGACCATGGTAAATGAAGACCACATGAGAACAGGAAGAAGCAAAGTGCTAGAGAGGCCCACAGAAATCCACAAAGATACCCACACAACAGACTGCTGGCAATGGTCGAGAGACAGTCCGAACTGACCTACTCTGGTGATGGGATGGCCAAACACCCTAATTGTTGTGCTAGAAACCTCATCCAACTACTGAGGGATCTGGATGCAGAGATCCATGACTAGGCCCTGGGTGGATCTCTGGGAGTCCAATCAACGAGAATGAGGAGGGTTTATATGAGCGAGAATTGTTGAGACCAAGGTTGGATAAAGCACAGGGACAAATAGCCAAATGAATGGAAACACATGAACTATGAACCAATGGCTGAGGGGTCCCCACTGGATCAGGCCCTCCGAATGGGTGAGACAGTTGATTGGCTTGATCTGTTTGGGAGGCATCCAGGCAGTGGGACCAGATCTTGTGCTCATTGCATGAGTTGGCTGTTTGAAACCTGGGGCCTATGCAGGATTGTTTGGCTTGGCCTGGGAGGAGGGGACTAGACCTACCTGGACTGAGTCTACCAGGTTGACCTCAGTCTGTGGGGAAGGCTTTGCCCTGGAGGAGATGGGAATGGGGGGGGGGCGTTGGGGGGAAGGTGAGGGGGACGGGAGGGAGGAGAACAAGGGAATCCGTGACCGATATGTAGAACTGAATTGTATTGCAAAATAAATTAAAATAAATTTAAAAAAAAAAAAAGCAGGGAGACTTTATAGGTTGTCGGCGAGGTGTGGTGACGTGTCTGCCACAAGCTGGGTTTTTGCCCAAGTATGGTCAAAAGTTGAGAGCTTCAGGAGGGGACTTGAGTGGCTGGCAACTTCAGGGGAGGAGCTGCAGTAGCCCCCAAGAATGCGGAACTGGGCTTTTTGATGCCTTCCCTTTGTTCAGAGACTCTCTGAGCAGGCAGGGTTTGGAAAGAGAGACAGGAATGGAGTTTTCCAGATCCTGCAGAGGTGATCTGGAGGTTCCAACCAAACAATTATTATTGGTTTTTGTTTCTTCATTTGGTTGTTAAGGCAGTGTCACTTGTAGCTCAGGCTAGCCTCAAACTTGTTCTATAACAGAAGATGGCCTTTAAATTTGGATTCTCTTGCCCTCACTACCCAAGGACAAGTACGTGCCACAAGGCTGGGCTCTTCCAGACAAATTTAAATGGCTATTGGTATTAAAAGGCTGTTGGGTTCTATTCATAATTTTATGATTAATATTTCCGTGAAGTACCCTGAGATAACTACATTTTCAATCTATACTAATTCCTTTATTTAATTTTATTTTACATGTATAGGCATTTTGCCTATATGTATATTTGTGCACCACATGCATGCCTGGTAGCCACAATCCAGAAGATGGCATCAGAGGCTCTGGAACTAGAGTTACAAATTATTTTGAACCACCATGTAGGTGCTGGGACTCAAACCTGGGTCTTCTGGAAGAGCAGCAAACTCTTAACCACTGAGCCACCTTCCAGCCCACAATCTATATAAACTTATTAATAGAATTAATTATGTCACTGTAGCCTAAAATGTCAACCAATTCAAGTTTTTCTGACCTAAATAAAAGATAATATTGTTTATCTTCTATTTATAATTTTTCAGTTTAGCCCCTCCCCCAAAAAAATCTCCTTATCTCTCCCAATTTTTAACTTTTTTTTGAGACAGAGTTTTTCTGTATAGCCCTGGCTGTCTTGGAACTTGCTCTGGAGACCAGGGTGGCCTCCAACTCAGAGATCCTCTGCCTCCCGAGTGCTGGGATTAAAGGTGTGCACCACATCTGGCTGGTTTTTTTTTTTTGCTTGTTTGTCTATTTTGTTTTGTTGTTTTTGGAGGCAGCATTTCTTTATGTAGCCCTGACTATCCTGGAATTTTAGACCAGGCTGGCTTCAATTTATAGATCCACCTACCTCAGCCTCTTGAGTGCTGAGAATAAAGGCATGTACCAACACCCCTTGACTGTTCTATCCTTTTAATTGCCCTTTTAAGGTAATTTTCCTTGGACTTGCTTTAGTTTCACTCTTTAGCTGCTGTCATGAGAATCACAGTTTTCTAAGAATGACTTGCATAAAGAAGGAATGGTCCCCTTTGTAGTTTTGTTTCTAGATTTGTTAAACACAGTCAGCATTGCATTCCTTTTGTTTGTTTTTGTTTTTTTGTTTTTTCGAGACAGGGTTTCTCTGTGCAGCTTTGCGCCTTTCCTGGAACTCACTGTGTAGCCCAGGTTGGCCTTGAACTCACAGAGATCCACCTGCCTCTGCCTCCTGAGTGCTGGGATTTAAGGTGTGCGCCACCACTGCCCGCCCCCCCCCCCCTTTTTTTAAGTCACATCCAGGATGATAGTTTCTTTCATGAATGTGATGGTTTGACAAAATTGAAAGGGTACATTACACCAAATCCAACACATTTTATAACTCAATTGTTACTGTAAACACAGTAAAAATAAAACGTCCTCTTGAAGCCAGGGGCCTTGGCTGTACTGTCGGTGTTGCTACGTGCTTAGGGTTCTATTGCAGCACTTTTCAAATGCTAGGCTGTCAACATGTGCTTGTTGAGTGAATGATGATAAATACTGAATGTCTTTCTAAAGACAATGTTCATGTATCTAGTGAATATAGCTACATAATAATGTAAGTCAGGAAGGAAATTTTATTTATGATTTCTGAATCTATTCTTTCAAATTGTATAATCCTGCAAGGTTTATCTCACATATAGAGAAAATTGGAAGGTTTTTTTAGCATTATTATTCCAAAATTATTTTTTTGGTTATTCTTGCTCAAAGACTGGGTATAATAATATTAATATTTGGAAAGTTGCAGAAACACGCTTTGGCCTATGTCTTACAATGCTCTAAACCTATCACCCCAGTCTCAGGAAGCTTAACTATCAGCTCATTTAGATTTTTTGTGGAATATTTTACAAGTTTTTTTTGAAATTTTTATGTTATTTATATATACATTATTTCCCTCTGCCCCTTCCTCCTTCCAAACCCTACAATGTACGCTCCCTTGTTCTTTTTCAAATTTTTGGCTTCTTTTTC